CATGCATCCTTGGTTCGTTTGGATATTCTGGATCAATCCCATGTCGTACGGTTTTGAGGCTCTGCTCGGCAACGAATTTCACGACACACAGATTGATTGCGTCGGCCCCTACATCATTCCGAGCGGTCCTGGCTACACAGACGGCCGAGGAGGACAATCCTGCACCAGAGTGGGCGGTGCTGTGCCTGGTGACACCTCCGTCACGGGTGATGCCTATCTCGCCCACATGTCGTTCAGCCATAGCCACGTCTGGCGCAACTTTGGTATCGTTATTGCATGGTGGGTGTTGTTCGTTGCCGCCACCATCTTTTTCACAAACAGGTGGAAGCAAATGGGCGAGGGTGGACGCAGCCTTTTGATTCCTCGTGAGCAGCAACACAAGTCTAAGCATCTTTTGGAAGGCGCCTCAGACGCTGAGGGCGGAGCCAAGGAGAAGACCTCACCCAAGTCCGGTGCTGAGTCGCCATCTGGCAGTGTGGGCAAGGAGCTCATCCGCAATGAGAGCATCTTCACTTGGAAGAATCTTACCTACACCGTCAAGACCAGCGATGGTGATCGTGTCCTCCTCGACAATGTGCAAGGATATGTCAAGCCTGGTATGCTCGGAGCCCTGATGGGCTCTTCTGGTGCCGGCAAGACGACACTTCTCGACGTCCTTGCGCAGCGCAAGACTGAGGGAACGATCCACGGCTCTGTTTTGGTCGATGGCCGCCCGATTCCCATCTCTTTCCAGCGCTCCGCGGGTTATGTCGAACAGCTCGATATTCACGAGTCGTTGGCCACTGTCCGCGAGGCCCTTGAGTTCTCGGCTCTCTTGCGCCAGTCCCGCTACACGCCCGACGAGGAGAAGCTGAGATACGTTGACACGATTATTGACCTGCTGGAACTGAGGGACCTCGAGCACACGCTGGTCGGCCGCCCTGGCGCAGGCCTCTCGGTCGAACAGCGCAAACGCCTCACTATTGCCGTCGAGCTCGTGTCAAAGCCTAGTATCCTGATCTTCCTTGACGAACCCACCTCTGGTCTCGATGGCCAGGCTGCATACAACACCATCCGCTTTCTCCGCAAGCTCGCCGCGGCCGGCCAGGCTATCTTGGTCACCATCCATCAGCCATCCGCCCAGCTCTTCACACAGTTCGATACGCTCCTGCTCCTCGCCAAGGGGGGTAAGACGGTGTACTTTGGTGATATCGGCGAAAACGCCAGCACCGTCAAGTCCTATTTCTCCCGGTTCGGAGCGCACTGCCCGCCCGATGCTAACCCGGCCGAGCACATTGTCGACGTCGTTTCTAGCACGCCGAGCTCTGGTGTCGTCCAAGACTGGAACAAGCACTGGCTCGAGTCGCCCGAGCACGACGCCCTCTCGGTGGAGATCGACAGGATGGTCGAGGACGCGGCGGCTCGGCCTACGGGGACCGTCGACGACGGCCACGAGTTTGCGGCGTCTATGTGGACGCAGACCAAGCTCGTCACGCAGCGCATGAACATCTCGCTCTTCCGTAACATTGACTACCTCGACAACAAATTCGCCATGCACATCAGTCTCGCTCTCCTCAACGGCTTTACCTTCTGGTCCATCGGCGACAGCCTCACGGACCTGCAGCAGAACCTCTTCACCATCTTCAACTTCATCTTCGTGGCCCCCGGTGTCATCTCGCAGCTGCAACCCCTCTTCATCGACCGCCGCGACATTTACGAGGCGCGCGAGAAGAAAGAGCAAGATGTACCACTGGGCGCCGTTCGTCACCGGCCTCATCGTCTCCGAGTTTCCCTACCTGCTCATCTGCGCTCTGCTCTACTACGTCTGCTGGTACTTCACCGCTGGCCTTCCGAGCGGTGCCGAGCACGCGGGCAGCGTCTTCTTCGTGGTCGTAAGTCCATCAGACAGCCTCCATCCCCCCGCAAACATGCATAACTAACACACGTCCAGATTCTGTACGAGCTGCTCTACACCGGCATCGGCCAGGCCATCGCCGCCTACGCGCCGAACGCCGTCTTCGCCTCGCTCGTCAACCCGCTCGTCATCACCACGCTCGTGTCCTTCTGCGGCGTCATGGTGCCCTACAGCCAGATTGAAGACTTCTGGAAATACTGGTACGTCCCGAACAACCCCAAGCTCTCGCTGCATCCTTCCGCAGGTAGGCTAATCCCCGCGCGTGCGCGTGACAGGATGTACTACCTCGATCCCTACAACTACCTCATGAGCTCGCTCCTCGTCTTCACGACCTGGGACAAGCCCGTGCGGTGCCGCCCCTCGGAGCTCGCCGTCTTCGACCCGCCCGCCAACGAGACGTGCGGCGAGTACCTCGCCGCCTTCCAGCAGACCGCCATGGGCCGTGGCGCGAACCTGCTCAACCCGGACGCGACGGCCGGCTGCGAGGTGTGTCAGTACACCGAGGGCGGCGACTATTTGCGCACGCTCAACCTGGAAGAGAAGTACTTTGGCTGGAGAAATGCCGCCATCGTCGTCATCTTTTGCATTGGCTTCTACGCCCTCGTCTATATCATGATGAAGCTGCGGACCAAGGCGACGAAGAAGGCCGACGGCAAGAAGTAGAGGCCGTCTGCCCATCTGTTCGTCCGTCCGGAGAGATCATCTCCTCCCAACAGGATTTCGCTTCAGAGATACTGTTGCTCATTGCGTGTGTGGCTACGCATGTCCGTGGGCTCTCGATGTTTGCCATCGGGTATAATTGCATTATGCATGCTTGGGCTTTTCTCCCGAGGATGCTCAATGTTCGGAGTTATTGCTTGGACTGATGAAGTTTGAATGGGAACTTGTGTAAGATGGCGGCACTTTCGGGCGTAGACTAGACCGCTCGCATAGATTGTTTTATATTTCCTTGGTTTTTTAGACTTAATAAAGGTTGGGCATTTATCTACCCACGGCATGCTGGTGAATCGTCATCATACTTTTGTGTTCATCACAGCCTTTGGCGTGGAAAGCATCAGAGGCATGCGTTGCTGAAGCTAACAGATACGGCAGCTGTGCCACGACGCGCGTCCATGATCACAGCCCCCTGATAACACACCATATCACGTGCATGGCAGACCGGATCGAAGCCCGTGAACGTGTCCATTGAACCATCTATCCCATAAAAACACCAGGATCTGGTCCGAGACGCACATGGCTCGCCACATCAGATCTCTGGCCCCTACATAGGTACACACCGAAGAAGAGTCTCCATAAACACAAATCCGAAAGATGTCCTGTTTCGCCAATTTGTTGTGACCATGACCCAATTCCCAAGTACCGAACCGCCGTTCCCGAATATTAGTACACACGTCCGAGTTTGTCCCGGGAAGATGCCCGTGCCGTATAACCAAGGGCACCATCCCATATTGGTAGAGCAAATATTTAGAACAAATTTGTGAAAAG